TAGGAAAAATCTCTGAAAATCTTCTTCTCAAGAACCACTGGGCCAGAAAAGCTGAAACTTATTTGCACATGGAAGGATCCTGGGTTAGTTGATTTCAAAATGTCTTAATTATGATCAGTTGGGTAGGGTGGGGATACATAATGTATTACAAGGGGGAAATCTGGTAAAGAACAGACTGGTCAAAGCTTCTCAGGTGAGCGATGTGGCCCATGGGCCTCTTGTTTTTCTTTGTAACTTTTTTTTTTAAAAAGATTCATTTCCAAAATATTTTACCACATGACATAGCAATGTGTCGGATAAAATATTCACATAAAAATAGGGGAGTTCAATGTTGAAATCCCTGGTTATTAATAAACTCCTGACGTCATGACCTCCGAATAGCTCTCGCTTGTCTTAAAAAGCATAAACAAACCAAATGACCTCTCATTTCAGTACATATCTCTATGCATAATTTATGCTTGAAATGCACCTTGATGCATATTATTGTAAACTTTTGACATTAAATTTTATTCTATACCCAGAAAGTATCAATTTTTATCATTGAAAGGGAGACATGCAAATTTCCTACATGTGCTAAATTTCAGCCTTTTGACCTTCACTTTTTTATTGTGGTCCTGAACCATTTACCTTTCTATGAAAGTACAAAAATAATGATGACTTAGAAAAACTTCCGCGCCATCTAGCTTTAATTCAGGTAATGTATTTTTTTTTTGCAAGCCATCTAGCGACAATTCACACAGGTGCTTGAGGACAGGACTCTCGTCCCCCCCCCCCCCTCGATATAGACCTCTGGGCTTTTTCTATTTTTTTTCTTATAAAAAATCTTTCATTGCCATATTTGTGATATGATCTATACCAGCAAATCGAAAAATTACCTAAAACAAACGTTCTAATAAATCTACCCTACATTCTCTATATAAAAATTTATATACAGAGAGGGTAGATATTTTTATAAAATGTAAGTTTAAGCAAATTTTCTGAATTGATAGGATAGATTATATCACAAATGTGTCATCCATATATAATTTATGTGAAAAAAGTCTAACAGGCCCGGGGGTCTATATTAAGGGGGGGGGGGGGGTCCTGTCCTCAAGCACCTGTGACAATTCAATGAATAATCGTTGGTTTTGCATTGGTGATCGTTGGTTTCGCATCGGAGTTTTGCAAACGAGTCTGTTGATTTTGTTTTTAAAGGTTGTCTGTTTTGTATTTCATTATGTTTATAAATTAGTTGTTGGTTTTGCATAAACGTCTTTTTTACCCTTTCCGCCGCCCATATTTCATTTAAAAATTATCAATAGTACAAGTTATCGATTAACTGCGATTTTATTGATGAATATGTGACGCAAATGCTGCAATGCAATGCTGTTATAGAATATAGAGTAAACAATATATAATCAATCGTATTTTTTGGGATTATTGAGCACTGTATTTAATCATTATTCCCTACTTAAATACACATCCATGTATGCTTATCTTTTGCCCTGTCTTATTTTCGCCGCATCACACTTGTAAAAAAAATTGCCCCGTTTTTAATTCGCCCAGTCATATTTTTGTTTAAGAAATTTAACTGTATCCTTAGAATTCGCCCCTTTTTAAATTCGCCAAAATGAGGGTAGAGCGAAAGGGGCGAAAATAAAACGGGGACGAAAATTTCTCTGTATATAGTAAGTCAAAATTCTATTAATTCTTTTTAAAGAGAATTTTTAAAGAGAGAATTTACGATTTGAATATAATTTTGAATTGCAAAACTCTTTCAAAACTTTCAATACGCAATTATATCATTACGAATTACAAAGTGATACTCTGGAGACATTTTCATAACAAAACACATTTTTTTTTTACTGTGGTTAAATCGACATTTGTGATACTTTGAGAGCAGTTTGTCATAACATCGAAAGCAACAATGGTTTTTTTGACTTGAACATTGTAGAAAATAAAGATTTTTTAGAGGGGTTAATTTCCATTTAATCCGACAAGCTCCCTATTTTGTGAGTTTCAATTTCATAGGAAAACTTTTTTGAAAGATTATCGCTGCCAACTTACACAATGTGAATTAAGGTCATCCAAATCTCCAATGGTTTATTCCCCGAATGGCTACTGGAATAAAACAACAAGTAATTATCACACTCAATTAAGGGGCCTTCTAAGGGGTACAGGTAGACTTACCGGTATGAATAATCTACCATAATTGAAACAAAATGAAATGGAAATTCATCTCATTTTATTTTAATTTGAGCACTATATACCATAAATATTTTGTATACATATTTTTTAAATAAATAATTTTACAAGCACAAATATCAAAAACTATAAATTATCTTGAAGTTTTATTGATTAGCAGCACTGATTTTCATATTATATATGAGATAACACTGTTTCACTTTCATATAACACATATTTACAATTTATTTAGTCCATCTCAGTATATTTCTTTGCAACTAAAGGATTGCTATGACAGGTGAAGAAGTTCATAAACTTCATCTGGATTTTATGATTATTTAATAGAATGTTTTGATAATTCAAATTGATAGATAAATAAAATAAATTATACAAAACTTTATAGAAACACTTTATTTATCATACATATATATCTACCGGTATTATTTAAAAAAAAAAAAAAACACTTGTGTTAATTTATCTAAAAGAGTTTGAAAATGTAGCACAAAAAGGGATAATAATTTTAAAGTTCTCAGTCAATACTATTAATAATTTGGGGAAAAAATTAAATTAAAGGTACAATAAAAATTTCACTTTTCTTAAATCTTAATTTTATCTACTTATATTTATAAATATTTTTATTCAGTATATTTCGGAAAATAGAAAACCCTCTGAACTAAAATATAATTGAATGAATATATCTGATTTACAAAATATTGCTTATCCAGGTAAACACAGGTAAGTCTACCTGTACCCCTTAGAGGGCCCCTTAATTGAGTGTGATAATTACTTGTTGTTTAATTCAAGTAGCCCTTCGGGGAACACACCTCTCCAATAGATCCTTACTCATTTTTGGCTATATGTTCACAGGTCGAGACCACTACCTTATATGGAAGGCAATTTTCAACGCGTGACGATGTCTTCGTCACGCCCGTTCTCCAATCAAGTGAAAGATTCCCAAAGCATAACAATCTACCACGTGTTTACGATTCAATGGCTACACGTGGTTTTCATCGGTTTACTGCACAAAATTTAACTCGTCACCGGAAAAACTGTAGAGCTTCTTTATAACTTAATTAGACCGAAATTGAAAGATTATATTCTAAAGACACTGCTCCATGCTCACATTTAATGTTGGAGTTGTTTTAGATGATTAACAATTGCTTCGAATATCGTACAAACGCTGTGACTTTTGCATATACATAAAACACTTTCTGATAATATTAAGGGGTTAAATAATAATTGCACACTTTCTCCAGCTGTCTAAAAACAAGGACCTATATACTACCTGCGAAAGCTATGTACACGTATATCACGTGAAAAAAATCAATGTTTTATCGACACGATATAGCACTTATAAATACGTCTCTTTGAACAAAGGTATACTGACCGATGTATTATAAGTTGATATAAGGCTTCATAAAGCAAATTTTGTAAATGTGAGCATAATAATGAAAGATTATGCATCATTTTAAATATTTCTTTCACAAATTTCAAAAACGAATTGCAAACTTTCTCCAGCTGTCTAAAAACAAGGACCTATATACTACCTGCGAAAGCTATGTACACGTATATCACGTGAAAAAAATCAATGTTTTATCGACACGATAATTAATTTCATTACAACATGTATTGGTAACAATCCTCTGTTAAAACTAATGTCCAAATAACTGTATCTCACTTCTATTCTCAATGATCGTGTAGTGTAGGGCAGCGCCGCGAGAATTCCATCGGCATCGAAAGCAAGTTTTTTGACTTGCCTAGATAGCCGAGCGGTCTAGAGCGCTGTTCCTGCACTGCTAGGAGACAGATTCCGAAGGTCGAGAGTTCAACCCCGGGCTGGGGCGGAAGTGGGTATCCATGTAAAAGTGAATTTCTTTGTGCTTTCTATATATATATATATATATATATATATATATATATACAAGATTGATTTGAATACTTGAGTTTCTTTTGCCGAAATACAAGACAGGCTTAGAGCTCCAAACCTTTGTTATGTACGCTGGACCCTGCCTTGGTTTTTGATTACATAGGTAAAAATATACTAAAATATAAAATATAATTTATGTTCGTTCAAAGCAGATTTTTTCAATAAAAAAGTTAATTCTTAATACGATTAGACAGTTTATAGTTTACTGAATCTCGTTTAGTTTCTTTATATGAAAACATAAAATACAAGAACCTTGTTTACAGTATGTCAAATCTTGAGTTCCATATCTCCTTTGTATATCAGTAAATGATGTAAACATTCAAATTGGTTTTAAAAATTTCAGTTAAAACTATGCCGAGGTCCCTTAAAAAAAAATTATTGATCATTCTTATTATACTTACATAGCACTTTCACAATGACTTTTCTTTCTACGCAAATAAAATAATTTATCTGATATGCTGAATCTGCATTTTAAATTGGTAAGAAACTGCTGAAAAAGAATTTTTGATTCAGAGTTTGATTTTAAAATTCCAAAAGTTTTATATTATATAGATAAACCTTTTACTTAACAAAAACTTATTTAAATTATGTATAACATGCACATGTATGTTTATAATTCTGAAACTCAATACAAAAGAACTGTTAATAAAACCGCACTGTCCTTTCAAATATTACAGTTTTACAGTTAAACGACGATTTTGAATTTGGAAAAAGAAATTAATTGATTAGTCGGTAATTTTCATGTTGCTATTTTTATAAACGACATTTCATTTTAATTGCATGATATGTAGTTCAACAAATCATTTAAACATTGTTGCTGACATGCACAAAAGAACTAATTCTAATTAATGAAAATTGATTATCTTTCTGTTTAAATACGGATTCATTAACGGTGTTTGGACGTTTCCAGATTTATCAGATCCAGTGGTGAACATAAATAGCAGTCTTAAAAATGAATCAACTGTTCATGAAAGAAACTTTGTGCACGTTTCATGTTCTGTTGGAGGAAATCCCACTCCAGACGTCACCCTTAGAAAACTTACTGGTGACACCCTGACTTGGAATGGCAATTTGAAGCATACATGGATAAAAGAAGCCCAATGTTCTGACACGGGCACTTATAACTGTGAGGGGAGTTCTACCGAGTTTGGAAGCAAGGATAAGACATTCAGTATCAACGTACTCTGTAGGTATACTTTACCATTGTATATACCGTAAATTAAAACCATATTACATGCAACATCATCGCTATCTTTCATACGATCCATATTCAGAAAAAAAAACTCTTTAAAATACATGAAATAATTAAGAACGACATAATCATGATAATGTTTTAACATTATTCACATAAAACGCAAATTATTTGCATTGTATACCACAATAATAATGGTTATTTGGAAATTTGGTTTATTTAATTCGTATAATTAATGTGTAAAATTCATCATGTTTTAGGTGACCCTCGTCTTGAGGACTCAAATTTGTTCAAATCCAACTATGGCTCCATGAGTGGCCCGGGTGTTAAAGTTGTTGTAAATTTGCCTGTTGTTGCAAATCCTCTAGAATCTACATCAGGGTTTGTTTGGTCAGGACCTGCATTTCAGCGTATATCGATTAATGTTTCACAAAGAGATAACATTGTCTACAAACACTGGATCAACAGCACTATCCCTATTCCCAATACAAATTTCTTCGGAAACTATTGGCTGATATATAAAGAAAAAGCCATCGCCAACATTACAATCAACGCCCAAGGTTGTATTTAACATTGCTTTTTGTTCAAGTGACTTTTTTTAACTTACATAGTTACATTTGATCGTAAATATGATATCTTTTATGCATGGGCATGTTGAAATCTTACAGGCATGTAGAAATTTCAGCAAAAAAATGCCCACTCTTGATATAAGTAATTTATTTGTATATTTCACAGCTCTTTGTAAGTTTCAATCTCACATATTTTTATCGCACAAATTAAACGCACGCTCTTCTTGTAATTAAATGTAACATTATTGGACTTCAGTACTTTGACAAAAATTTAAAAATATCAAATACATGTACATCATGTTAAAGGTATATATGTCCCTTAAAATCTTTATCTCAAGTTGATGTCTTTAAGGAAACATTTTAAATGAGTTATATGGAAAAACAAGCAGTACTCAAGATCAATTCTAACTCGGACCTTCAAAGCGTCCGAGGTGGAATCAGGTGCCATGCAGGAGTATCTCTTACCGACCGGTGTCATCCGTCGTGCATGTGCTCCTCGTCATGATTGGGAACCAACGAAAAATTCCGTCGACAATTCAGTGTGTATATTATGGTTTACAATTAGTATGAAAAAACGTCTTCAGCATTTGACTCAATGATAAATTTTGTTTGCTGACAAGATCATTGTATCGACCAAAGAACTTACGAAATGATGACTTTAAATTAAACTACTAATTTTCATGTTTCATCAACTTGTTTGCTAATAATTTATCTAGTTTTAAAAATTGTTCCTACTGAGAAAATGTTCTCGCGTATCGAGTTAACCTAGACATATAAACTCTGTATGCAGGTGATGAAAGTATATTGCTGCATAAGTAAGAAAAGATTACGATTGAAAAGTTAAAGTCGTTACGTTAATTATTAAGATGTTTTTAGATTACAATTTGTCAAGTATATTATCTGAAAATGAAACAGATGTGTCAAATATGTTATTTCAATCTGATCAGGATATTTCAATCTGATCAGGATATATTGTATTGACATAAGATAGGACTTAACTATATTGTTAATTGATAATACGTCATCGTATATCTAAATGCTTAGTTTTAAGCCATACCGAAGGGTTTCGCCTTTAAAATTTTTGACTATTCTGCTTTACATGAATACAAAATTAATTTGGTGCAATAAATAGTACAATGTAGTATCTGTATGATTTTGCCGTTCGTATTTACAAATTGAATTCATGATGGTAAGTCAGTATTTTTACAAGTACATATACTTAGCTCATATACCATACTCGTTTTTTTCAACAAGTGTGCCAAAAAATAAAATATAGAAAGAACCGATGCTAACAGATAGATTAATGAAGAATGTTTAACTTTAAAAATGGTAAATCGTTTCTATTGAAAGAATTTATTTTCATTTACGCATTTTGCGATGGTAATGTAAATCATTCTGAAAAAATGCTAGCCTTTTAACATAGAAAACATTGGATAAATGTAAAACACTGGAAGCATCATCATGCATTTTAAGAAACCGTGACGTACAGAAAAAGTCATTGATAACTGTGTCGGTTCTGTGTCTAGTCAGGGCAAAAAACTCCTTTAAGAAAACGGATACTAAGACTAAAAATAATTCAAAATTTATTATGATAAGCCGTTTGTTGTACATTTTTTATTGAACGAATTAAACAAATCAAACTAAAAGAAATCATGAAGAGCAATTTTAGGAAATTGTGAATTAAATCTTAAAATAATAAAAGAGGTTTTTAAAAATATATTAAGAGGTGGAATTAGGTGTCATACACATTGTTCTCAATTACAAACTTTGATATACTAAAATGATTGACACTCTGAATTATTAAGTTACAGTTTAACTCTTTGATAAGTTTGGCTATTGTGGTTTTTATGACACTACAGTGATGGCTTGAAAACCTTAATTTCCTGTCGTCATCATGTTAATTATTATACAAGTATATCTGCAAAATATACTTTATTTTGTACATTTCTATTGTGTAAAATGATGCGTGAAATTGTAATTTTTCATGTAGTCGAAAGATATCTACCATTTTAAATAGCAAATTCATTTTGTGATATTTTGAAGAAGGCCTGATATAATTATGTGAATTTCTTATATGAATTAGTCACCGTCTCCTCTTGAAGCCTTGTCTGCGCTGAATTCATTATCGTTTTCGTTGTTTGAAAAATACACGGTAATTGTTTCTTATAGTATTTCCCCAGCCTAAGTCTCTATCTTTATCGAAAAGACGGCTGTGTACAACATTTTTTGTATCACATAAGTCACTCTGGAGACATATGACAATCCACTTTTTGTTTTTCTTAGTGTGTTGTCCATCATGAGTCGAGTGTTAACATTTGAATATTAAACATTTTCAACTTCTTCTTCGAAACTTCTAAATTTTTTCTACTAATTTTTGGCATGCAGCATTCGTGGGTATCGAAAGATACCACAGCATCTGACATATCTGTTTCATACTTGGATATATATTACTTGAAAGAGACGTTAATGGCAATCAAACAACCAAGCTCTACGACAAACGTGATGACTTTAACTCTTTCTATTGTCAACTTCCCTTACTTATGCAGCAATATACATTTATCACCTGCATACGGAGTTTATATCTACCTATGAAGAATTTCTAAAACGAGGTAAATTATTGACAATTAAGCAAGTTGATGAAACAAGAGTATCAGCAGTCTCGTTTAAAGTCATCATTTCGTAAGTTATATCGTCGATACAATGACATGTAAGCTTGTAAGCAAATATAATTTATCATTGAGTCAAAGGATGATCAATGTTTTTCATACCAATTGACGATGATTTCCCCTCTATTTTCTGATAATGACAAAGACACACGGCGTGTGTGACCAGTCGGAAGGGGATGCTCACTACTCCATGGCAGCTGATTCCACCTCTGATATTTTGGAGGCTGTGTTTTCTCTGTTCATAGTTTGTATTGTTTTGTGGACTTTGATATTGAATACTGTTTGTTATCTCCATATCTTTCATGCAATCAATTAAACCCAAAAGAGAGGGGAGTATTATAAGTTAAAATATGGGTTTAAAATATTACAAATGGGGATAGGTAGATTATAGCTTCACTTATCAGCAACAAAGCTGTATTTTTCTGTTAACTTTTTAAATACTCTAAGGATTTCTTAAATTGTTGTACTATACAGGATTCCTTAAATTCTACTATACACAGGTAGCCATCAAGGGTTTTGCGCCTCCGGCTTTCATTCACTAATATACGTTAATATTTTTGCCTTGCCATCGGTTATTATATAAATATTGCACATAGCTGAGTGTATCATTGAAAATTTTCACCCCAAGAAAACCATTATAAACCAAGCGCAGCCGAGGTTGACAATAGTTTTCTAGGGGTAAAAAATTTCAATTTTACACTTAACTACATACAATAATTATTATATTATACTGAATGTTTTTTACGAATACATACAACAGTGAAACCGTGCACACATAAATGCTGCACAGTCGCTATTTTATGGAATTTCACCCGTCGTCAAGCAGTGTTGACTGTTGCTACGCTGGAGGGCGTGGCTTCATTATTTAGCGGGTATTAGTGTTTTTTAACAAATGTTTCTGGACCAATCATAATCAATTAATTTACATGGAAGTATAATATGATTTTTTATCATATTATTATTATTATATATTCAAAGCTCTCTGATTTGCTCAAACTTGATCACATGATCAATTATATACGGTAACTGCATAAAGACTTGAGTTCTGTAAAACAACATTTGTGCTGAATTCTTAACATCTAAGACAGAGTATGACTTGATTTTCTAAAACGAAATTGTACTTCAACTTTTTATTCATTATTGTGATGTTCAGTAATAATTAGTAAGACATAGGATTCCTTGAAGAAGAATCTCCTTTATGTTAAAACATATAATAGATACGTTATTTCAAAAATCAATACAAAACTTAATTAGACAAATTAGTCTTTTAAAAAAAGAAAATCCTTTAAAATATTCTATCGATACAAAGAAAAGTCCCTCAGTGTTAAAAAAACAAGCGAGTGGTGATTTTGTCAATATCAGTAAAAAAAATTATAATATAAAAAATCTTGCCCTCTAAATCGGTCAATACATAGATATATCGACTTCGCAGAAAAATATATCGACCTCGCACTTCTTGCTCGGTCGATATGCTTTTCTGTGAAGTCGATATATCTATAGATCGACCTCATCAAAATGCTATATTTATATAATATTATTTTATCATGTTGGTTAACTCTTATAATTTCTTAGCTTTGAATTTTAAGATAAACCTCAGCCACCTTTGAACTTCTCATGGTATTCCTACGGAAGTGGATTTATCAATCTTACCTGGATATCGAACTTTAATGGAGGTCCAGAACAGTTCTTCATCTTAGCAAACAAAAAAGAAAAAAGCTGGACATTTGTAAAAAATCTGACAGACCCTGGTGAGGGTAGTTTGGGATATTACGACCTAGGACCTTTAGTTCCAGAACAAGAGTACTGGTACCAACTTGAGAGTTGTAACAGAATCAGCTGTTCTTTGAGCCCGAGAGAAATTAAAGTCAAAGTTAAAGGTGAAATATCTTATTTTATAATTTTATACTACTGTGTTATCTTCTAGTAACTGAATAAACTAGTGCATGTATTGGAACGTCGAGTATTTCTTTTTGCTTAGACAATTAAAAAAATAGTTCATATAAATTCCATTTCTTGACCAAAAAAACTATCATCAAGTTTTCATGATACCGTAAAAGTAGAATTTTTAGCAAGGATTCAATTGTGGCATAATTAGCGAGGGTGCCAAGTTCGCTAAAATTAGATAACACTATAAACTAATTCTGCCTTAATTGTAATAGCTTCTTTAGAGAATTTTTAAAATCGCTAAAAATAAATCTCGCTAAAAAAAATAACCATTTTTTAAGAATAAATCGTTAAATTTGTGTAACGCTAAAATTTCCACTTGTACGGTATATATAGCTCCTCCGATCTCGTCCTTCTCTCTGTTTGGAGACAATACCATGCTGATTTTGGTTGGAGCGTCTGCGGCTGGTTTTGTTTTTGTTGTGGTTCTGACAGTGGCGGTGACGATGTATTGTAAAACAACTAAAAAGTCAGCTACAAAGAAAATAAACATGGAGGAAAGACCCAGTGGATGTAAGCAGATACTGTTTAGATATACTACAAGGTTTTTCAAAACATTGTCCATCTTACTTTAATGAAAATCTGAAAGTACTTTTTAGGTTTTATTTTTAGCTTTTGCAGTTTTGGGGCAGATAAAAAAGAGCTTATAAACGAATATTAAATACAATTAAACAGATTACAGGTTTAAAAAGAAAATTATTACTAAATAAAAAGTCCTTAAGGCAATTCATTTTGGATTAGAATAGTTGTTATAGAACTGCAATGTGGCAATACCAGAAATTCATCTCATTGTCGATATTTATGTGCAAGGAGCAAAGTTTTTTCCTCTTTTTTTAATGTAGTAATGAATATTGCAAAATATAACAATATATTGGTCCGTGCAAATTTTACGTTTAAAAAGAATTTGTTTCACAGCCACAGAACAGGATGATATACCAGCGGATGTTGTTGTGTACGCTGCTGTTGACAAAAGTGTCCTGATGAAGAACAGACAACAGGATGACGTAGTGAAGAGTGACGTCATCAAGGATCAAAATGGTAGTCTTGCAATCTATCTCTCCAATTATTATATTGAGTTTCATGTTTATCTAATTTTTTAAATACTCTGAAATTATTCACAATAAATAACGTTTTCTTTAATCTTCCGTGTCCTATACCTCTTGTTCAATACGTACCCCATTGTTTGTTTAGATGACAACGACACAATGTATTCAGAAGTGATAAAACATCCTAAGAAACAAAAACAAACAGATGAAAAGAAGAAAAAGGAGTTGCAAGGAAAGAATGAGGAAGCTGGGGCATCTACCAGTAACGACAATTCACGTTCAACGGTATGATGCAAATAGCAAGAAGTATAAGAATTTTAGATTTGAATAATTAAAGTTATCCATCTATGCACATTATCTGCAAATAAAATGGTCAATTTCAAGCGACTCAATGGCCCATGTTTGAGTAAATGATATGGAGATAACGAACAGTTTCAATATCAAAGTCCATAAAACAATAAAAAACAGAAGCAAATCTAAAGCAAACTATTAGGCTAAGGACCTCTAAAACATCAGAGGTAGGATCAGATGTCATGGTAAGCATCCCCTGCTGAACGGTCACACCCGGCGTGTTTTGTATCGTAAATTGGTCCATTTAATAATACTTGTAGGTCACGGTGAGCTACTTTTGAATATCTCAGGTATTTATTGGCTTAGAATTATCAAACTTGGTCAGCAGATGTATCTTGGGACTCTGAAAAATGTGGATCAAAATGTAGGTCACAGTGACCTACTTTCGACATTTTATGGCTATATTTAAGTATCTTATAGGTTTAGAATCAAGTCAGCCAAAAATTCATTTCAATTGATGATAAAATGGACAATTTAAAGACTTAGTGATAATAAACTGGTCCATGAAAAGTGATAATTAATAAATGGTCCAGGTCAAGTAATAAGAAAATGGTCCATTTCAATTGATGATAAAAAATTTCCAAGTTATCAAAGGAAAACTTGAATCGACTTCTATATCAGAGAAGTATTTTAATTCTGATGAGTATGTCCTGTTTTTTGTGTTCAGGAGTTATTCTTTGAAATTTCATAAAATAGCAATTTCATAAAATATATTGGAACTTTTCTTTTCTACTTCATAGAATCAAGATGGTTTAGTTTATATCGATGTTGAATTTGCAAAAAAGCCACAAAGTTCAGACACAAAGGGGAGACCAGTCATACACGGAGAAGACGAGAAGACAGAGTACACGTTCGTGGATTTCTCCCAGAAAGCGCCACCTTCACAGGAAACACAAGAAAATGTCAAGTGATCGTTTGTTGTGAGGAGATGGAAAAAAACGTTTACGAGAAAAAAAATCACAGATGATTACATCTGAATTTATTGGTGACAGATTTATCTTTCACACATATTTCTTTCATTGTTTTTAACTCTTGTATTTTTTGTATGCTTGTATTTAGATATTGTGAATAATCGTCTTATTATCATCATGGAATACTGAAAGATAATATTGCATATGTACTCAAATCCCAACTCGATCAATACAATTTTTTAATACAATTATTTGTCTAAAGGGAAGAAAAAATAAATCAGATTTTCATTTAATTTTCAAGAACATTTTTCTTTACTTTGCGTTACTTCGCCCATCGCTAGAAGTCCTGAAAGATTAGATCATTTTACTTGAAATTGGGTATTAATGTTTAAGTATTTATACACGTCTTATATGAATTATACTAAGGGAACAATTGCTAAAAATAAATTGGACTTCTAATTCACACCATCCAGGATTGGAACAGGTGTTTGCGTGTGTTGTTTCATAATTTTACTCTCAATTTTGAAAATAGTCGAGAAGCCCTGTATATATATTGATGTAATTGTTAACTCCATTAATCCACTTTATTTTCAACAGATACGCACCTGGTGTAATTATTAACTTTAGTCTTCCTGGTAATTGAATAAATATAAGCAATCAAAAGGATGTCCTTTCATCTAATTTTAAAAATTTATATATATTCTCTATTAACTTTCATATCATTTCGTATCTGACACAAATCATTTTCAGTTTTGGGGAAATTGTCGACAGATGTCGGTGCTATTTGTCACCAAGAAGAGCTGAAATTTGATCTACACGTGACACATAAATGATGAAAACAATATAAAGTTACGATACAATGGACCAAAGTGTCGTAACTTTGGGGGAAAGATGGAGAGTTTTATTTCAGAAAGTAAAATCTGAGGAATATTCAGCCAAAACGGTCTTCTTAGTCTTAATGAACGTTTAATTTTCACCATGATCACAGATTTGCCGATAGAAATATTATTTACAAATAATCGCGATGGTTTTAATTTCGCTATGTTCGCGATTTATCATTTTTACGCGAAATTAAACCTATCGTGAATACTTTTATTAGTTTTTAAAAACGTTTAAATGCTTATACGAAATTTGAATTAATTTCATGAAATTAAAACTATCGCAATTGGTACTTTTTGAGATATCGTGAAATTTTGACACCCTGGAATTAAAATGACTTACAATATTGCATAAGCGCACAAGGAAGCGAAAATGTACATCAAAATAAAACCCTCGTCAGCAAATAATATGTTTAAAAGAGGAAGAATCATGTTTTCTCCTCAAGTAATGAGCATAATCCTTTATTCTCTATCTATACTTACGGACTTTTATATTTAGTGGATAATCTAGATCTTATGAAAAATAAACCTATTGCAATAAGGAAGTTCCTGTGATTTAATAACATTAGCTGTCAAAAAGGGGAAACCGAGTTCTGTATTCGTTTAAGTTCTACATATTCACTTTAACTTCTATCAGGATGATAGTTTGAAGTATGAAAAGTCTGTATCTTGTGCAATTGACTGGATTGGTTTAAACAGGAAAAAAAGGGGAGGGGAATTGACATATACTGGCAGAATTTATAATTAAAAGTTAAAACAATATGAAAGTTATTCCTGGATCTGTCACTAATTTGTTCATCCATAATAACAATAAAGCACACATCATTTTAGACTTTTATTGCAGATTTATCACAGGATCTTGTGTGGCATGACAAATACAGATATATAAACCAGTATAAACTACATCATTTACAAACAAGCTTTTATATTCATTGTCAATTTCAATCACTCATTATGAATTCAGATATAAAAATGCTATTAAAATTATCTTTCTTTTTAAAGAGAGAGAAAACATGAGGATATTCATAATGATGAAAATTTAAACACAACAAATTACTTTAATTTATTAAATTTCAATAAAAGCGATGCATTGTGAAACATCCCATGTTAACTGAACTGATATTGTTAGAAAAGTTTTCTATTAGTATCAAGTGATATGAAGATTGTAAGAATATAATGATGAAAATGAAAATGGAGCAAAGATAGTTTTTAACGTGAGGATATATTCAAGATAATAAAACTGAAACTCGGTATCATACAGTATGGACTAAAATTTGTGAAAAATCGTAGAAGAAAATGGATATTATAAAGAATTCATACTGCCGAGAGGTATCTGCCCTTTAAACAGTATGATCTATGTGAAAAGACAGTGTGTATCTAATTAAAATATATTTACATCCACTGAATATTTTCTTCTTTATTTCTTAAGAAAACCCATTGCGTTCATCACTGCATGAACTACATTAGTCATATCACCTGTACAGATTTCTTGATCAGTGGCCGTTCCATCAATGAAACGTACAAAGACGTTCGCATCATAAACACAATAATTAATATTTTTAATCCTACTTAAAATGATAATTTAAACAGATATAAATATATAAACAACTAGAGCAAAGCTCGTTGCAAAGCAACGAGTAGGTCTTCCGTCCGGTTTTGACCGGAAGTCCCGGAAGTGACGGAACAAAAGGGAGTAATGAGCTAAGTAGTCTCCAGTGACTTTATAATTTCAATATTGCATCAAAACCTTCAAAATAAGCCATTTTTTGCTACTTCCGGTTTGACCGGAAGTGACGACGACGGACGGAAAAGTTACTTTTTTTGCTCCTAGAGACATAGGTAACCCAAGAACTAGTCAAGAACGGCAAAAAACCGCGTTTTCGGACTACTTCCGGTTTAACCGGAAGTGACGACCCCGGACGTATTTTGACGACTCCAAGAGATTAAGCTTGACATTTTGAACAACTTTGCTTCTTTGACGTATTACAAATTCCAAATACTTTTTGAGATATAAAAGAAAAACATTTGGCCCCTCTTGGCCCTTGATTTAAGGGGCCAGCCCTTTTTTCGAGGTATCATTTGAAAGATCTTGGAATTCTATACTTTTTTTGTACTACATGTTTTAACAAAATGTTTCTATGTAAAAAGTTATCGTAGAAAAGGTGTTTAAAATTTTGAAATTCTTGGTAGGACTATTTTCGGGCCATAGCGAGCGTCGACACTTCGTACTTCCGGTGGTTGTGATATACGAAATTCACTTCTCCAAAGCTTCCTCTAACATCACTGAAAATTTCATGCTTCTGTGTTGAGTGGTTTTTCAGAAAACTGCCGGACAAAGTGACCCTCTGAAAATCACTAAAACGCGGAAATCTCAAAACCGGAAGTGACGTCATCAAAACAAAAAAATATATATCTAGTTTTTTCCATGTTCTATCAGTCCTGAAAGTTTCATGAAAATCGAGCGAGCCGTTTTCGAGAACTCGCGTGCACAAAATCAGTAAGAAAAAAAACAATAATAATAATAACTAGAGCAAAGCTCGTTGCAAAGCAACGAGTAGGTCTTCCGTCTTGTTTTGACCGGAAGTGACATCAGCAAATGAAAGCAAATGAGCTAAGTGGTCTCCATTGACTTTATAATTTTGATTTTGCATTAAAACCTTCAAAAATAAGCAATTTTTGGCTACTTCCCGTCACTTCCGGTTTGACCGAAAGTGAAGTCAACGGACAGAAAATTAAGTTTTATGCTTCCAGATACATATGTTACCCAAAATATGTCAAGAACCCTAAAAATATGCATATTCTGACGACTTCCGGTATGACCGGAAGTGACGTCGCCGGACGCATTTTGATGACTCCAATAGATTAGGCTTGACATTTTGAACAACTTTGCTTTTTAGACGTATTACAAATTCTCAATACTTTTTGAGATATAAATGAAAAACTTTCGGCCCCTCTAGGCCCTTAATTTTAGGGGCCAGCCCTTTTTTTGAGATGTCATTTTAAATATCATGTAATTCTACACTTCTTTTGTTCTATATATCTTAACAAAATATTTGTATGTGAAAAGTTATCGAAAAAAAAGTGTTAGAAATTTTAAAATTCTCGACATGCCCTTTTTTGGACCATAGCGAGCGTCGGCGTGCAGCACTTCCGGTAAAAATGAAATGCGTATGTCACATCTACAGACATTGCTCTATCATTGCTCAAAAACTCAAGTTTCTATCTTAAGCCGTTTTTGAGAAAACTCGCGGACAAACTGACCCCCTGAAAATCAGTAAATCGCAAAAATCTCAAAACCGGAAGTGACGTCATCAAAACAAAAAATTATATATCAGCTTTGTTTGATGTTCTATCAGTCCTGAAAGTTTCATGAAAATCGAGCGAGCCGTTTCTGAAAAATCGTGTACACAAAATCGGTAAGAAAAAAAACAATAATAACTAGAGCAAAGCTCGTTGCAAAGCAACGAGTAGGTCTTCCGTCCTGTTTTGACCGGAAGTGACGTAAGCAAAAGAAAGCAATGTGCTAAGTCGTCTACATTGACCTTAAAATATCAACTTTGCGTCAAAACCTTAAAAAATAAGCTATTTTTGGCTACTTCCGGTTTGACCGGAAGTGCCGCCGACGGACGGAAAATAAGTTTTAGGCTTCCAGTAACATATGTTACCCAAAAACTTGTCTAGAATGGCAAAAATACGCGTTTTTTGACTACTTCCGGTTTGGCCGGAAGTGACGTCGCCGGACGTATTTTGACGACGCCAATAAATTAAGCTTGAGATTTTGAACAACTTTGCTTCTTTGACGTATTACAAATTCTCAATACTTTTTGAGATATAAAGGAAAAACTTTCGGCCCCTCCAGTCCCTTAATTTTAGGGGCCAGCCCTTTTTTTAATATATCATTTGAGAGATCTTGGAATTCTACACTTCTTTTGTTCTACATGTTTTAACAAAATATTTCCAGGTAAAAAGATATCGTAGAAAAGGTGCTAAAAATTTTGAAATTCGCGATAGGACTATTTTCGTGCCATACCGAGCGCCGACGTGCGGCACTTCAGATAAAAATGAAATACTTTTCACATATCTATAGACTTTGGACTATCATACCTGAAATTTTCACGTTTCTATCTATAGCCATTTTTTAGAACGTTCGCGGACAACCTGACCCTTCAAAAATCATAAAATCGACAATATCTCCAAACCGGAAGTGACGTCATCAAATCGAAAAAAAATGCATGAAGTTCAAGTTATGTTACAAAAGTCCTGAAAGTTTCATGGAAATCCATCGAGCCGTTTTCGAGAAATCGCGTGCACAAAATCGGTAAGAAAAAAAAGAATAATAATAATAACTAGAGCAAAGCTCGTTGCAAAGCAACGAGGAGGTCTTCCGTCCTGTTTGACCGGAAGTAGCTTTCATTTTTTTTAACAAAAATGGGAAGTAACGTCAAAATTGCTTTGAATACTCTAAAACTATGATAATTAATGCAAAAATAAGCTTCTTTTGCTACTTCCGGTTTTACCGGAAGTGACGACGACGGACGGAAAATTAATTATTATGCTCCCAGAAACATATGTTATTCAAGAACTTGTCAAGAACGGCAAATATACGCGTTTTCCGACTACTTCCGGTTTGGCCGGAAGTGACGATGACGGACGTATTTTGACAACTCCAGTAGATTTAGCTTGACATTTTGAACAACTTTGCTTCTTTGACCTATTACAAATTCTCAATACTTTTTATGATATAAAGAAAACAATTTCGGCCCCTCTAGGCCCTTAATTTTAGGGGCCAGCCCTTTTTTCGACATATCATTTGAAAGATCTTGAAATTCTACACTTCTTTTGTTCTATATATCTTAACAAAATATTTCCAGGTAAAAAGATATTGCAGAAAAGTTGTTAAAAATTGTGAAATTCGCGATAGGCCTATTTTCGGGCCATAGCGAGCGCCGACGTGCGGCACTTCCGATAAAAATGAAATACCTTATACATATCTATAGACTTTGGTCTATCATACCTGAAAG